ATAAATTATTATTCATTTCGAAATGTAAAAGAAGTGACTAATTTTCAGATAACTTTTGATAGAAAAGAGACAAAGATCTGCTATGTTCACCATCGGAAAGAGGCAATAATGGCACATCAAATAATACATTTCAGATTTTTCCAAAACATTCTTTTTTAGAATTCTATATCAAGCTTTTCTAAAATGTTTTCAGCATGATTTCCTACGGATTAAAACGTAAAACGCGACGAAAGTGCTTTTATCGTTAATGTAGACTCTCACTATGTTGATAATGACTGCGATCAAGTCACAAGAGCAGTATGTGGAAAGTGTTTGTCACGGACTGTAGGACGATCTCGGGGGTGGTTCACTTTTCTCACTATAAGAAGAAACAAAACAATAATACTCATACCTTTCGACTCCCAACAGTATTGGGTGCCGCTTAGCGGCAGATTCAATAGCCAAGCATCTTTCCTACAACTAAAACTAACTTTAGATCTGGATCGAAGACCAATCTGACGCAGAGTTCTTGCACTCGATCGCTTGAGCTTCCTATACACACTGACTAACGACATACTAGTCACGAGGGCAAGTGCAGGTTGCAACGTCGTCAGCATGCTATCATACTGGAGTCCGAGATAAAGAGCTATCAGTGACTTGTCTTGGATCATTTCTTGACTGATGGTATCAAACTTTGAACACAGTGCCTTTTGGATACGTGTCAAAGAATGTAGCCACTCAGCTTTCGCGACTACTATCTCACTATTAACTTCAACACTCATTACCGATCTTGTTTCAGAATGCTCACATTTTCAGATCGGTTAGCAAGAAAGCGTTTTGTTTTTTTTGGAGTGCACCAAAGTTGCTGATGAAATTCAAGGTCTGTAATTATGCAAGTCCACACTTTAAGCATTAACTAAATATAAATTGTATATTTGACCAAAAATAAGAATGGATGAGTGATTGTGGTTCTTCTCTACACTTACACCTACCCATCCTCAATAGCAATATTTACATTTCCTCCATCTGACCTCAGATTCGGATTCCTCGAATCCGATTCACTTTCGTCAAACTATTTTGAGTCTGAATGAGTGAAAATGGAGGTGCGGCGCAAATGAAAATCGATTCTTCCACCAATCGACACTCGCACATACATCTTCTGATTTTTTTTCCTGCTACGAAGAAAACCACTGTTGATGAAGAGTACTGTACTCAGATGTGTTTTTTCAGAATGACGTACTGTTGAACACTGTGTAGTATGCTTCGAAGTAAATGAAAGCGATTGCTTTCATTCTTATTCGTCGTATTTAAGTCCAGATCAGCGTGAATCGCTGCAACTTGAAGATATCATCGCACGCATGTTTGAACACTTGGGTTAGCGTCCGCTTTTCAACATCACTCGCAGACATGCACACACCTAAACACATCTACACAAGGTAGTGATTCTAAGAAGATCATTTTTGTTTTTAAGCGAAACTCTTTGCAGATGATAAAAACCTAAAGCAGAGTTGGATTTGACTTGACTGCTTTTAGTGTCCATTCGATATTGAGTTTGTATCGAACGACAAAATAGAATATACATTAAATGTATTCATTTGACACCAATTAATATAAAATTATATCTACGCTGTTGAAATATCGATACAAATGTTTCAAAACTTAATTCAACATCTGCATACTTGAAAAAGCTTTTTTTTCTCCATTTTCATCGAATTTGACAATTTTTATTTCCAGATATACCCACTCACTCGCGTTCGCCCCTCTTCCTCAAAACATACGCCCTGTTTTGGATTCGTTTACGCGAGAAAAGTTAATGTTGACTTAATGAACGTGGTTTGTCGAAAAATTAATTCAGATTTAGTGCACTTTTCAGAGGCGAATTAAATTTTGATGCCAAAATCGAGAAAAGACTTGATCCACTAAGTCCAATGTTGAATGTGCCTCAATAAAGTTTCTTTATATAATCCATAGATAGATATTTTCAATATGATAAACTCTAGAATGTAAGTGACTAGAGACTGAAGCATAAGAATAAGTGACACTACAATATTGAACAAATCTGTAGTTGAAAGAAATAAGTTAGAACGGTATATACTTTGTTAACAAGTTTCAATAGTCAGTCATTAATTATCACAGAAAGAAGCAACATTTTGTTTTGTGAATATGTACTGGAATAATGCACTTCGACTAGGCTATAGTGATCATTTCTCAGTTCTGACTGATGCATGAAACTCATAAATGTAGACGTATCTAGATTTCATTTGAAATTAACACTGAATTATTTTTATAGTGTGGACAAGGTTTCCGATCATTAGTTGGCATCGTTGACTCATTCACATGAATTAGCTAATCAGATTTTTTCGTTTTCTCTTATTTTATTCATCATACGATTATTGTAAAATATCACCATCTGCACTTTTTCTTACAGACACTCACCACGCTCAAGTTCTATAACAATGGAATCGGAGATAAAGGAGCACAACATCTGGCAGATGCACTACGAAATAACACGGTGACCCTCATTCTCTCTTCATCTCTCTCATATACTCATCTGCACTTTTTTACACAGACACTCACTGCACTATATCTCTACAACAATCAGATTGGAGCTTTTGGAGCACAGCATCTAGCTGATGTATTGCGAAATAATACGGTAATCCTCATTCTGTCTTCATCTCTTTCATATCTTCATCCGCACTTTGTCACACAGACACTTACCACATTATATATCTACAACAATCAGATTGGAGATGAAGGAGCACAGCATCTAGCTGATGCATTACAAAATAACACAGTAATCCTCATTCTTTTCTCGTCTCTCTCATAGTCTCATAGTCTCATCCGCATTTTTTCACACAGGTACTCATCACTTTATATCTTTACAACAATCAAATTGGAGTTCTCGGAGCAGAACATCTGGCTGATGCATTACGAAATAATACGGTAACTCTCATTTCCTATATCTCTCTCATATAATCATCTGCACTTTTTCACACAGACGCTCATCACACTCAATCTCTACGACAATCTCATCGGAGCTCTCGGAGCACAATATCTAGCTCATGCATTACGAAATAACACGGTGACCATCATTCTCTCTTCATCTCTCTCATATCCCCATCTGCACTTTTTTCAAACAGACACTCACCACATTATATCTCTACAACAATCAAATCGGAGCTCTCGGAGCACCGCATCTGGCTGATGTATTACGAAATAACATGGTACTGCTTATTCTCTCTTCATCTCTTCCGTATACTCATCTTCACTTTTCTTTACAGACACTCACCACACTAGATCTCGGATACAATCAAATTGGAGACCATGGAGCACACCATCTGGCTGATGCATTACGAGATAACACGGTACTACTTATTCTCTCTTCATCTCTCTAATATCACTATCTGTATTTTTTCACATAGACACTCACGACACTAGATCTCTACAACAATCAGATCGGAGATAAAGGAGCACAATATCTGGCTAATGCATTACGAAATAACACGGTGATCCTCATTATTTCTTCATTTCTCTCATATCCTCATCTGCGCTTTTCACACAGACACTCACAACACTATATCTCTACAACAATCAGATTGGAGATGAAGGAGCACAACATCTGGCAGATGCATTACAAAATAATACGGTGAACTTCATTCTCTCTTCGTCTCTTTCATACTCCAATCTCCACTTTTTCATATAGACACTCACCACACTCAATCTCTATCACAATCTCATCGGAGATAAAGGAAGGAAATATCTGGTTTATGCTTCACGAAATAGCATGGTGATTCTCATTCTCTCTTCGTCTCTTTCATATCCCAATCTCCACTTTTTCACACAGACACTCACTACACTCAAACTCGATGTCAATCAAATCGAAGGTCTCACAGCACAGCGTCTGACTGATGCACCTCGAAATAATATGGTGATCTTCGTTCTTTCTTAATATCTCTCATATATTCATTTGCAAGTTTTCATACAGACAGTCACTACAGTAGATCTCACAAACAATCGGACCAGAAAGACGCGTAGAAATCGTTTGAAGAAGCTGATTGTTACGACTGTACGACGAACAATAGCGGACCATCGATATTAAAAATGGTTTGATGGAAAGCTGAAACAACTTATTGAATATGTGACTAGATTTTTTTATGCTTTTATTTGGAAACGAAAATAAAGCTTTTTGATTTTGAATGCGATGTGTGTAATGATGATGATGTTGCGGTGGTTTGATTGTAGTAAAAACATGAAGGCATACATGTTCCTTTTTTGAGTGGTGCTGCATATGTGGCTTTAATGAAAAGAGATAATGTACCTTCCAATAATCCGTAATAATTTCATATGGGTAAACGTGTGTTTGGATTGTTTCAGTTAATGTAGAGTGAAGTGGACGTTTAATTTGGCAATGCTTTCAGTAGTTTTCGACGTTTTGAATGATTGTGTGTTTGTGCAACTTGGAAAAATGGAGATTTGAATATCTATTTTAGCTTATAGTTTATGATTATTTATGTATAAAACGATCAACAAGTCGCAAAAGTTTCTTTTTCTTATAAAAAGTACCTCATTTTCCGAGGATTAAAAAGTCTAACCGTACGCTGAAGATATTTTTACAGAATAGGATCTATGGCGCTATTGGAACCGGAAATTTATGAAAATCTGATGTCTTTAACTGGCACGTTCAGTATTGAAATGATCCATGAAAGTAAATGCTGTCAATGTGAAATCATACCATTTTAAAGCTAGTTAATGTTTTTGAGGGCATAACGTTTTGTATGAAAATGATATTGAAATACTTTGAACTGGCGAAATAATTGCATTCATCTTATTGAACGTTAATATATAGTGTACCCCAATTCATTTTCTCCCTTTTGTTTTTTTTTGTGTTTTTATCATTACACTTCGTTTATTTTTTAACTTCTTATATATAGCAAGAAAGTCCGGAACGCGCTGCCTCTTATGGTATATTCACATGAAATAACAGATAGGGATTAAAGTATACAAATTGTTTAAGAAAATATAGTAGAAGTTTTTTCTCGTCACAAAATAAAGTCACATTTATTATTCAATTTAAAATAAAAGAGAGGTAAGTATTGTTGAAATAACTTTTGATAGGAAAAAGATAGAGATCTGAAGTTTTCACTATTCGAAAGGGGAAATAAATCTGCATCGAATATTATATTTCAGATGTTCTCAACAAGCTTTACCAGGATCTTCAACTAGTCTTTTGAAAAACTCGGCTTTTTTGTAGTCTTTCAAAAAAAACAACTTTATCCTTTCTCGAAACGTGAATTCTTCAAAAGACATAGTTGAAGATCCTGGTAAAGCTTGTTGAAAACATCTGAAACATAAGACTTGATGCAGATTCATTTCCTCTTTCGAATAGTGAAAATTTCAGATCTCTATCTTTTTCCTATCAAAAGTTATTTGAATAATACTTACCTCTCTTTTATTTTGAATTGAATAATAAATGTGACTTTATTTTGTGACGAGAAAAAACTGCTACTATATTTTCTTATATAATTTGTATACTTTAATCCTCATCTGTTATTTCATGTGAATATACCATGAGTTGCAGCGCGTTCTAGGCTTTATTCCTATATATAAGAAGTTAAAAAAATAAACGAAGTGCAATGATAAAAACGCAAAAAAACAAAAGGGGGAAATGCATTGGTGCACACTGTAAATTGGCCCATTTTAAAATTAAAACTAAATCTTATTACTTATAAAATTATTTTCTCTTTAATTTAAAACATTATCATCTTATTTTGCACTTGATATTTGTTTTACATTCTCTAAGGCTATCTAAAGTCTAAAGAGAAAAATATAATTTTCTTTTTTTAATTTAAAAAATTAGAAACATTTTGGTTTAGCTGATATACTGAATTTTGTATTACAATAATTTTTTTATTCACATGAAAATTTTCAGAAAATTTCTGAAAAAATTTCAATAAAAGAGTGTCTACTAATGTTTAACAAGACGTAAAAGAGGAGTTTTCGGTTATATAGTTCAATGATCCGAACGACGGGTAACAGAATGTATGTATGTTCGAATCTAGCCTTTAACTTTCTATTACTTAGGGCATACCAAAAATAGTGGCAATCCTATCTCAATTTCGTATAGGCGACTTGAAGAGATTTTCTTTTTATATAGACTGATAGTAAAAACAAAACTCTAAATTTCTACATTATTTGATCATTATTCATCTAATATCATAATAGTAAAATTGCCATTAGACTTGTTTAGCTATGATATGTAATGATAACATTAGTTCATATTGTCTTCAATATGTGTTCTTGTCTTGAGCTTCTCTCTTTTCTTTATTCTTTTTTCCTTGTCTCTTTGAATGCTTAACCGTCTAATCCATATATAAGAATGTACAAAAACTAGTGGTGATAGAACAAAATAAAAAAATAGAAACAAGTTTAACAAGTTTTTATTTCATCAAGTGTTCGAAATAATCGCCTTGATTATCCACACACAATTGCATTCGTTGAATCCATTTATCGAATGTCTTTATACTCTTATGTATTCAAAGAGTTTATGAAACCGCCATTCTCACCCTCATCTTCAAGAACAAAGAGAAGATCAAGACAAGAACACACATTGAAGACAATACGGACTAATGTTATCATTACATATCATAGTTAAATAAGTCTAATGAAAATTTTATTATTATGATATTAAATGAATAATGATCAAATAGTGTAGAAATCTAGAGCTTTGTTTTTACTATCAGTCTATATAAAAAGAAAATCGCCTCAAATCGTCTATACGAAATTGAGATAGGATCGTCACTACTTTTGGTATACCCTAAATATATTTAGATTTAGATTCGTCCGAACTAATTAGTCCAATGCACCTCACTAGAGCGTGTCATGTGAATCACCCGTAATAGTCTTTATGTTTCAAATCAGAATTATTTTGTGAAATACGATCTAAAATGAGTGTTGAAGTATATAGTATAGAAATTTGCACCAATTCCCTTTCCCCACAGACTGTGACAGACATCTTAATTAATTAATTAATTAATTAGTATTTAATTGACTAATTAATCGTCACAGATCGTGACAGACAAGGTCAAGACGCCATCACAGACCATAACAGACTCCCTTCACGGATTGTCACAGCGCCTAATAGCCGCCTTCAAGAGACTATCAGACATTATGTATAACTAACATTTAAGTGGAGTATTCATGAAATATTTCCTTCATGAAGTTCTGCGCTGTAAATTTAGCAATGCTGATGGAATATGCCCAGTATACATAGCAAAAATCATTTTTTAGGGGATTAGTAATAATAGTTATATCGTGTCTCACATTTTAATCCCTCAGGGATTGTGCTAATAGCTTTTCTTATAGGTATCATGGCAACCCGACTTGTCTAGTCTTTCTGAAGAAAAAGACCAGACTATATTTGCATCATGACGTTCGGCAATGATGGGATACAAGGATACAGTTGTATTCAGATCAGTTCCGGACGAGAACTTTTTAAGACTCTGACTAGTCCTATCATGCCAACACGACTAGAAAATAGCCTAGACATTTACCCCATCGCTAGCTCATTTGAGATGATAACTTTCAGGAGAGAACTCGCATTAAAGGTCAGCTGCTTACAAAGATGAGCTTCGTTGTCGATGGTGACGCTGACGACAAGCATTCTTTGCTTGCCGTTCACATCGTTCACCGTTATTCTCTTGTTTCCTTCGTTTTCCTCTCTTGTGACGCATCCTTTCCTCGCCGTTCTTGCTTTTGTTCTTCTAATTCTTGCAAGTGCGACGAACAATGGATGGTTGCATCCAGTCGTAGTCATTGTGTTCTCATGTCCGCCCTTCCTTGTGCACATTGTTGTTGGGTTCTTACAGCTCTTGTAAGTATTTCTGGTTTACGGAGCTCGTGTGATGGTTCAATTGCAATCTGCTTAGCAGCATCGTCCAAATGTGAGATATTTTCGTGATCAACTGCTTTTGAAAGTGACTTTCCACATTCTTCAAAACAAATAACATCTATCGATGTAGAACATATGAATATTTGAAAAAAAAACAATTTCAAATGAATAAGTTCGATCGTTTCGTGTTCGAAAAATCTTCTGTTGAATTTCGGCCAAGCATGATCCTTTTTAGCTAGACAGAACGTTCTGATATCGCTATTCGTATCAAATAATGACATCATCAAACCACAGAATCTCTTACTGTTCTTCCCATCATCACTTGTTCTCTTTCCTCGGTAATCCTGCTTCCCTCTCCTGTCATGATGTCTTACGTAAATAATCTTTCATTACAGTTACGAAAAAGAGTAATAGTGATCGAATAGAAAAGTAATGTCGCAACAAACTTGATAGCTACGTCAGCAACCAATGAAATGAAAAATGTTGTGTTTTTTTTAAATGCTCGAATACTAATGGGTAAAAAAAATTTATAATATCCTACTTCTTTTTTTGGACTTTCGTAGTATTGAATAACTTCAATTCGATCGATTCATGGATGTTAATCGTGATAGTAAATATTTTGAAAATTGAAATAATTTTATGCAAATAATTATTATTATTCATTTAGATTTTTATGGTGTTTTACCAGAAATTTTAAATGATATAAATAATGCTGATTATGTAGCAATTGACGGTGAATTTACAGGAATATTACCATTCAATAAAATGAATTATTTTGATACTCCAGCTGAACGATATAAACGTCATTATGAAGTAAATTTGGTCTCTTTTTCGTGTTAATATTTAAAATTTTGAATTATTTATTTCAGTGTGATAGACATTATTTAATGATTCAAGTTGGTCTTGCAATGGTTCGATGTATTAATCCGACAGAAAATCGGTAAATAAAAGTTAAATAACAAGTTTTAACTTAAAATTTTTTATAATTTTTTTTTTTATTAATGTCTTAGATATGCATTAAAAGCTTATAATTTCTATTTATATCCTGAAAATGAAATAGATGCATTTGATTTTCGATCAAAGGTATAATCGAATAAAATTTTTGTTGAAAAACAAGAAAAAAAACTTATTTTGTAAATTATAGAGTTCATCATTACAATTTCTAGCGGCTAATCATTTTGATTTTACTCAATTATTTCTCAAAGGTAATTCAAATATACGTATTCATAATATATTCATACATTTTTCTTTTAGGAATTCCTTTTGTTTGTAAAACGACACATTTAGAAAAATTAAAAAATTCACAACTATCATCATCACATCGTAATAATCAGCAAATACTTAATAGTAACGATAAAAATGAAAAGTAAAAGATTTTAAATTTTTATATAAATAAAAAAATTTTTTTTTTATTTATTGTTAAAGAAAATCTGAAGCAATAGCAAATTCGCCCAAACAGTCTGAATCTAATAATTTATCAGACGCAGATTTATTAAAAAATTCAATGATCGGATTTTCAGAAGTCATGTGGTATGTTTTCAGTTCATTTTTATTGTTTAAGATTTAAAAAAATATTTGTTTGTTTTTGTTTTATAGGAAATTACAAGAGTCTGTAAGTGATTTTATTGATATCGATATTTATTAAGAACGATGCCTTGAAGAATGCTTTCTTTATTGATTTTGAATTTATAGAGTGTAAAACATGATATCAAAGAGGTGTTGAAATATAGGAATAAAAATCTGAATCTCTTTTCCCACAGATCGTGACAGACGCTATTGATACATGATTACAAATTGTATATCAAAATATCTCGTTATTGAATATAAACTACGTCCTTATTTCGTTTCTGGAGGATAAAGTAAAAGAATGTTGCAGAAATGTGTCTGAAAAAGGGATAGAATAAACCAACCTCTCTGCTATTAACAACAGCAGTTACATTGTGTTTCACATTTTAATCCTGCAAGGATTGCACTAACAGCTTTTATTGAAGATTTTTCACCTCCTAGGTAATATGTTCGTGGAAACCGAAATTAGAAGATTTTTATCAGAAACTTTAAGACGATTCTAATGATCTTGAAACTTATTTATGGACAAAATTTTAGGTGAAAATTTCATAATTCAAGTTTCCACGAACAATTGACCTAGAGATCGAAAACCTCAAAAAAACCGGTTATAATGATACTTAGGTAAGGCATGAATTCAAATTCTTAGGATAAGTCCAATATGAGCTCGATTGATATTCAACATTTGAAGATTTTTCCAAACCAAAATTGCTTTGAACTGATTATGATTTAGGTCTAGAATGCATTCAAAGAGTCTCAAGATCAGATTAAAAATTATTATTTTTTCTTTTTTTAGGGAAAGCCTATAATCGGACATAATCTTCAGTTGGATATGCTACATATAATCAATCAATTTTTTACGCCTATACCTTCCGTATGTTTATTTCATTTTATTTTTAAATTTCATTGTTTTTCTTATTTTAGTCTCATGATGAATACAAATTCATTGTTAAATCTTTATTTCCTAAGTAAATATATTTAATAACAAATTAATATTGATTTTTTTTTAAAGATTAATCGATACAAAAACAATTGCATCAACATCATTTTTTCAAGTAAAATCATTTTAAATATATATATATATGTATATCTATTTTAATTATTAGAATATTATTTCAAATACAGCATTACATGCTATTTATAAAATAATTCGTGAATCATCCTTTCCAGCATGTTATTTTGGTATATAAAAATATGAATATTCTATGTGTGTATATAATGTTTGTTTTGTCTACCTCTAGAAACTACGGATAATTTCCAGTATGCATCAGGTGAACATGAGCATACAGCTGGTTATGATGCTACTTGTACAGCTGTTTGTATGACTATAATGATGGCATATATTGGTAGAGAAGAATAGAAAACAATTCTTTTTTTTTTTATTTTGTTTTTTTTAGCTGAAAAAACTGATTTTAAACAAAATCCAATTGAACATACATTAATTAATACAT